TTTTTTTTTTACAATTTGTTATGAAATTTGTTCTAATTACCAAAAATAAAAAAAATCAAATAACCTGGAACCCATTTTCCCACCTAAAAATGTAGGAAAATAGTTTCATTGATTTCCAAGAATTGGTGCACATGTGGGGGGTGGGTGGAATTTCTTTTCCTTGGCAAAAAAAACCTATCAAACAATCACTTCTGTTGAAAATGAAAATTATTTTCCAACTTCCCTAGAAAATGGATGCTATCAAACATACCCTAAGTATCACTCATTGCAAAATTGAGAATATAGATTTTAAATTTCAAAAATCAGATTTTTATTAAAATTTATTTATGATTTAATTACTTGATTATATATTTTATTATTTAAATATATTAAGGTCACATATCTATACAATTTGATTACAAATTAACCATTTAATTAGTCACATATTATTTTTCAGTCACAAATCAGAATTTTTATATGTCACAAATTATTTTACGATCATAATTCAAAAAATTTATAAGTCGCAGTTTGTTCATCGATCACAAATTAAAAATTTTAAAGTCACAATTGATTTATTGGTCACAAATCACAAATATTATAAGTCACAACTTATTATATGGTCACAAATTAACAATTTTTAGGTCCATATTTTTTTGGTCACAATTTATCTTTTTTATTGGTCACATATTGTTTATTAGTCATAGATTAACTAATTTAATGGTCGCAATCAACCAAATAATCTGTGATCACCACCAACGATTGTGACAATCACCTCATCACATCGTCACTGCCCAATAGAAACATCACCATCTCAAACAAACCAACACCACAACCTCTCAGCACCACTGTCACCACCTCCAATAAACTACCACTTTCAACTTCAAAACCACCACTGCCAACAACAAGATTCATCACCGCTTCCACCAACAAAACCACAACTACCACCAGATCCAACACAATCGCTTCTACCCAAACACCACAGCTACCACCAGATCCAACACAATCGCCGCTACCCAAACACCACCACCACAGCCGCCATCCACCAACTGAAAACATAACCTAAAAATCCCACACCAGGTCGCAGCGTTGCAGATCCCTACCATGACGCGCAGCCAAAGCACAAAAATAACCACGACCACCACCATCGCCGCACGCATGCACCACCACCGCCGCAAGCATGCACCACTACCGCACCCATAATGCTCTCCATTCCCACCTTCGCACCGCACACCTCAATCGCACCACTCAAAAAAAATAAAAAAATAAAGAGGAACAAATATGCACCGTGCTCAGACCATTGGATCGCGTAGAGGCGTCGTCGAGGCTCGACGGTACGCTGCACAGAGTTGCCCCACCCGTGGGCAGAAGTACCGCGCTGCTATTGCTGCGAGAGAGCGACGACTGCACCTCCGATGTTGTGCCTCAACGCCAGAGTGTCATCTCGTCGGAGTGGAAGAGAGAGAGAGAAGATAGGGTGAGGGTAGAGAGAAATAGTAAACAAAATAGGTAAATGATTAGGGTTTTGGTTGGGTGATTATATGTGCATATTAATTTGATTTTGTAATATAATTATCAATATTAAAAAATTTAATTATAATCTGATTTTTGAATAAACAAACTTTGGTATATTTTTGAAATTGGATCTTAAAACATATGAATGTGTGTAATTTCCTCTTTTTTTTTATACAATAAGAATTAAGCTATATGTACCAAGGATGACACCCTCCTAGACGTGGAGAAAATCTATGCAGTGATGTGATGAATGAGTTAAAAATCAAGAATGTAGATCTTGTTACATAGAAGAGTGTAGATGAAGGTGTAAAAAAGAGTGTATGTGTAGCATAATCGATACAATAAAATATTTTGTACGTAAATCTAAAAAAGTTGTCTCTACTTTTTAATCACACATTCTCCAAAAAAAAATATTATTTAAAACTCTATTTTTTTAAAAATAGTGACCATCGAACATGGCTTAAAAAGTGGTTAAAGATTAATAAGAGAAGAATTCATTTTAGCCCTTGTTTGACCACTATTAAAAAGAGATTTTTGAGAAAAAATGAGTTTTAAAATAATAATTTTTTTGAAGAATGTATATTTAAAAAGTAAGAAATTTTTTTGAATTTACGGATAAAATATGTGATTGAAAATAAGTAAATTTTTTTTTTATAAAAATGGTTGTCAAACACTACCATTATAAAGAAAAATTGAGAAAAAAACGATGTTCGGTGATTTTTTTGGAGAAAGTGTGTTTAAAAAGTAGGAAAATTTTGGATTTACGTGAAAAATATTTTATTATATGAATGAGTGATTGAAATGAGTATGATAAATGAAGAGTTTTTTATTTTATTTTAATAAGAGTCATCCATGGTCTAAGAGTTAGTAAATGAACATTGTTAGGAAATTTTGTTTTTGTGGTTTAATTTTTTGTTTGAACGATTCCAGTTTAGATTTAGGGTGTGTTTGATTGCAATGGTGGAGAATGGGTGGAAAGAAAATGTTTTACAGGAAAAAGATTTGTCTAGAAAATATTTTGTAGGGAAAATGATTTCAAATGTGTTTGAT